TCTGGGCTTGTCGGTCTCAGGCATGGATAGGGGTCAGATCGAGGCTGGTTGTATGAGCATCGTTTCACCGGTCCCCATCCCCACCAGCGTGGGCTCCCCAGCTGAGGTGGTGAGACGGTGGTGCTCGAGATGTGGAGGGGAATGGGGATAGGGATCGGTTAGACGATACTGATTGTAGGAGATCTTGGCACGGCCCGATTTGTCGATTCGGCGCTGGCCGTCCCAGTGCCCCCCGCTGGGTGCGCTCCCCGCCGGACAGGCGAGCACGTGCGCGCGCTGTACCGCCTCGGCCCAGGGCCAGCCGGCCGTCCAGTGCCCCGGCTGAGGGAGAAGGATCGGTAAGCGCTGCCAGAGGGTTACCTCCAGTATCGTTTCACCGACCCCCATCCCCATCCTCATCCCCTTCGAGACACCAAATTATCACTTCAGTTGGGGATACACCCCTCGAAACCCGAAGGGAACGGCCAATATCTTTATTTAGGGGGTTAAACCGGCCAGTGCGGCCCAGGCCACGCCACGCCGCTGGGGGTGTGGATCGGTGAAACGATGCTTATACCCGGAGAGTGTTTTTCCCCATATTCTAAGATGGGGTTATTGTTATCACTTGGACGCCTCCTACTCCTCCTTCTCCTCCTCCTCCTTCCTCTTCTCGTCCCCTCCTCTTCTCGTCTCCACATACGAGATTCACTCATGTCCACACTTACTCACACAGACTGACTCATACTGAGACCTACTCATACTCAGACTTACTCCTACCCAGACGTACACATACACAAACTTACTCATATACACAGACTTACTCATATTCTGGCGGGTCTCAGGCGTGGTGCTGGTTTCAGCACCCCTAAAGGGCGCCGCCAGGTGTGTTTGCACGGGCCCGTTCGCGGCCAGTTTGTGGGGATATCTCGGGCGGTTTGCACGTTGTCATGCCCAACACCCTTGGCTTTCAGAGCAGATTCTGAGGATGTCTCAGGCGGGGCGCTGGTTTCAGCACCCCTAAGGGGAACCGCCAGGGGTGTTTGCACGGGCCCGTTCGCGGCCAGTTTGTGGGGATGTCTCAGGCGGTTTGCCCGTTTTCATGCCTAACACCCTTGGCTTTCATAGCAGATTCTGAGGATGTCTCAGGTGGGGCGCTGGTTTCAGCACCCCTAAGGGGAGCCGCCAGGGGTGTTTGCACGGGCCCGTTCGCGGCCAGTTTGTGGGGATGTCTCAGGCGGTTTGCCCGTTGTCATGCCCAACACCCTTGGCTTTTAGAGCAGATTCTGAGGATGTCTCAGGTGGGGCGCTGGTTTCAGCACCCCTAAGGGGAGCCGCCAGGGGTGTTTGCACGGGCCCGTTCGCGGCCAGTTTGTGGGGATGTCTCAGGCGGTTTTCCCGTTGTCATGCCCAACCAACATCCTTGGCTTTCAAAGCAGATTTTGAGAATGTCTCAGGCGGGGCGCTGGTTTCAGCACCCCTAAGGGGAGCCGCCAGGGGTGTTTGCACGGGCCCGTTAGCGGCCGGTTTGTGGGGATGTCTCGGGCGGTTTGCACGTATTCATGTCCAACACCCTTGGCTTTCAGAGCAGATTTTGAGGATGTCTCAGGCGGGGCGCTGGTTTCAGCACCCCTAAGGGGAGCCACCAGGGGTGTTTGCACGGGCCCGTTCGCGGCCAGTTTGTGGGGATGTCTTAGGCGGTTTGCCCGTTTTCATGTCCAACGTCCTTGCCTTCCAGAGCAGATGTTGAGGATGTCTCAGGCGGGGCGCTGGTTTCAGCACCCCTAAGGGGAGCCGCCAGGGGTGTTTGCACGGGCCGGTTCGCGGCCAGTTTGTAGGGATTGCGCAGGCGGTTTGCCCGTGTTCATGCCCAACATCCTTGCCTTCCAGAGCGGATGTTGAGGATGTCTCAGGCGGGGCGCTGGTTTCAGCACTCCTAATGGGAGCCGCCAGGGGTGTTTGCACGGGCCCGTTCGCGGCCAGTTTGTGGGGATGTCTCGGGCGGTTTGCCCGTTTTCATTCCCAACCAACATCCTTGGCTTTCAAAACAGATTTTGAGAATGTCTCAGGCGGGGCGCTGGTTTCAGCACCCCTAAGGGGAGCCGCCAAGGGTGTTTGCACGGGCCCGTTCGCGGCCAGTTTGTGGGGATGTCTCGGGCGGTTTGCACGTTTTCATGCCCAACGTCCTTGCCTTCCAGAGCAGATGTTGAGGATGTCTCAGGCGGGGCGCTGGTTTCTTCACTTCTAATGGGAGCCGCCAGGGGTGTTTGCACGGGCCCGTTCGCGGCCAGTTTGTGGGGATGTCTCAGGCGGTTTGCCCGTTTTCATGCCCGACATCCTTGCCTTCCAGAGCAGATTTTGAGGATGTCTCAGGCGGGGGCGCTGGTTTCAGCACCCCTAAGGGGAGCCGCCAGGGGTGTTTGCACGGGCCCGTTCGCGGCCAGATGTCTCGGGCGGTTTGCTCGATTTCTGGTTGCGAAGATGCACAGAGGGGCTCCACGCAGGGAGTATTTTATAAAATTTTCTAGGCCATAACGCGCGTTATGACCCCTACCCTCCTCCCCTTCCCCCCCATAACGTAACGCCCCCCCCCCCCCCTCAGTGCGTCCCCGGCACTGCCGCAGTGCGTCTGGCACCACCATCCTGGGGGGGGGGGGGCGCTACGTTATGCCCCCTCCCGTCCCTCCCCCCTCCCCGCTCATAACGCCCGCTATGGCCGCTGAACAAAACCTGTAAAATTACACCAGTGCGACCCTACCTAGAAGTTGGAGCCCCTAGGAAAGCAGCATTATTTGCAATGCTATGCTATGCCATGCTATGCTGCGCTATGCTATGCTATGCTATGCTGCGCTATGCTATGCTATGCTAAGCTATGATATGTCATGCTGCGCTGTGCTAAGTTATGCTATGATATGCTATGCTATGCTATGCTATGCTAGACTGCGCTATGCTATGCTATGCTATGATATGATATGCTAAACTATGCGATGTTACGCTGCGCTGTGCTATGCTATGCTATGCTATGCTAGGCTGCGCTATGCTATGCTATGCTATGATATGCCACGCTATGCTATGCTATGCTATAATATGCTGCGCGATGTTATGCTATGCTATGCTATGATAAACTACGCTGCTCGATTGTATGCTATGGTATGCGATACTTGGCTATGTCATGCTGTGCTATGATATGCTAATGCAGCGCTGCGCTATGCTCTGTTAAGCTCAGCTAACCCTCTAGGCAGAGCCTAGGTAGGGAATTACACTATGCTCTGCTATGATATGCTATGCTATGCTGCGCTGTGCTGTGCTGTGCTGTGCTGTGCTGCGCTATGCTATGCTATGCTATGCTATGCTATGCTATGCTATGCTATGCTGCGCTATGCTATGCTATGCTGGGCTATGCGATGATATGCTGTTCTGCGTTACGCTATGCTATGCTATGATGTGCTCTGCTATGCTAACGCTCAGCGAAGCTAAGATGAAGCTCAGCTAAGCTAAGATAAGCCTGAGCTAAGATGAAGCTACGCTAAGCTAAGATGAAGTAAGCTAAGCTAAGATGAGATAAGCAACACTAAGCTAAGGGGACGTGACTGGGGGAACCGCGGGGCGGATACTGGGGGAACCGCCCGGGGCGCTTTCCATTGCCCGGCCCTTTTAAGCCAGAGAGTAAGAGCCCTTCTAGGCAGAGCCTAGGTAGGGGAAGAAACGTTCTTGCCGGCGGCGAGCCAAGGGGGGAAGTCAGAGGGGGTTCAGAGAAGGAAAAGGCACCACAATCCGCTACCCTTCTCTCGTTTTCCCCGTTTGTGGCCTCCTGGGAGGCCCTCCCTCGTCGCTAGAACTTGGGAGCAGCGGTATTGGTACCTTTTGGTTTTCCCAGGGGGCGGGCCTTTTCAGAAGGCTCGGAACGCTTCGGGCCTCTTCAGAAGTTTTCGGGTCCTTCGCTCCTTCGCCGAAGACACGAAAAAATTGTTCAGAAGGCCAGAGGGCTTCCGAGAAGCCTCGCAGCCTGCTGAGAAGGCTTGCTCCTTTTTACTTCCCCCCCCGTGCGAGCCGCCGAATCTTGGCCCAGCCTCAGACTCAGACACCTTCAGATGTCCAACCTCTCCCGTCGGTCGAGTCGTCACCTCCCGTGCTTCTCCCGCCCTTCTCCCGTCCTTTTCCCGTCCTCTCCCAATCCGTAGCCATTTTGGCTCAAGCTACGGCTGGCCCCCCCCTTGCTGGGCGCGGGCGGAGTGTGCGCGCGCGATGGTGCGGGCTGGGCGCGCGAGGGGCCCGCTGGTGCGACACGGGCTGTGTGTCGCACACTGCGACTGATGCTGCGCCTGGCGGACGGCGGCGGCCGGGAGGGCGGCAGCGCCCTCGAGAGCTACGAGCAGGTCTTGCACGGCGCAGGGCGGCGCTTCGCCTTGGGCCGTAAGGCCGCGTCGGAAGAGGTACGGCGTGCCTTCGCCAAGGAGCAGCCCGCCTTGGCGAAGCGGTGGGCGGCGCTGCGTGCGGGCAGACGCTGGACAGCCCTGCGGGACTCCAGCCTAATCGCCGAGGTCGGCGCGGCGCTCGACACGCTCGCGGCGACCAGTTCGATCCCAAGCAGCTCCACTTCGTGCAGTACGTGCGACCGTCTCTATCATGGACGTATTCGGAGACACCCAAGGAGATGGTCGCGGTGTACTCCGAGGACGAGGAGGAGACGTTTAGGGTCGACAACGGTCTAAAGTTGGAGGAGGTCGTTGAGGAGAAAGGGAAGGAGGACAACCTGAAGACTTAGAAGGTCAAGGAAGTTTCCCACGTGCAGGAGCAGCTCAACGTGCATGTGGACTCGATGTTGCAGCAGAAGGAGCTGGTGATCGCCGAGCTTTTGGAGGAGCTCGCCAACGCCATTTCGGCCTCGGAGAGGGTCTCGTTCGAGATCGGCGCGCGGATGGCTACGGCGACGCGGCAGCACGGCGAGGCCCTGCACTTCGTGGACGGCGCCGAGGTGGTGGTCCCCTAGGGGCGTGGCGGGCCAAGGCGCGATGCTCCTCGAGGCGGCCGTGGCCGACCAGGAGATCGAGAATATGGTGAAGGCGCCGCAGGTCGCGGACGTCGTGGATATTGTCGACATTGGCGAGTCGATCGCCAGGAAGTATGAGGTCGTGAATCGTGCGGCCGTTGACGTCGAGCAGGCCAAGATCGTCTTGGCGCAGGCGGAGGCCAGGTTCGACGGGGCAGCTGAGGAGGTGGTCGAGGTTCTTTCGGCCTTGGAGGAGGACGAGCGGACGGCACCCTTGGTGAAGCTCGGCCTCCCGCCCGAGAAGTCAGCCGTGTCGTGAGCTGACCTGCTGGCCTGATAAGTAAAAGTCTTCCTTTGGCCTTCAGTCCCCAGTCTCTTGCCTTTGGAGCCTGTCCGTCAGCGGCGCACTGTAAAACAACTCCGTCCTCTCCCGATGGTCGCGTTGTCCTCCGCGTCCTTCTCCCGTCGGCCGCGTCGTCCTCCTGTTTCCCCCGCTGCCCTGCTGATCTGCGCCGCATCCAACCTCTCGAGAAGGGCAGGGAGGAAAAACCACGCGGACCGGACAATGGGTTTTTACAAAACGACCCTGGGCGTTTACTAAAAGCCCTGCCGAGTTCGATTCCCCCTGTGGGCGCGTACACTAAAGGCCTCGCGTGTCGGGGTGGTTAATATCGGGGTGGATTTTCTGCCCTTTCGAGAAAAGCAGGGCGCAGGCTTCTCGTGGTTAGCTGCCGCTGGGAGCCTCCGCCGGGGCCCCCGCGGGGACCAGCAGGTGGAGCCTGCCCTTGGGAAGGGGGCCTGGTTTGCTGGAGCCCGTTACGCCGTAGTGAACAACTCAAGTGGTGGGCTTGTCTTCCGCCACCACCACCATAAGCAGGAGGAGAAAGGGGTCTTCCTCCTCGTCCTCCTCCTCCTCCTCCTCCTCCTCGTCCTCCTCGTCCTCCTCATCCTCATCCTCATCCTCATCCTCCACCTCCTTCTCCCCTCCAACTTCCTGGTGGTGGTGGTGGTGGAAAACAGGCCCATCATCAATACATCGGACGTCGGTCTCCGCTGCGCTGTCGTCGGGCTCGTGCGCCTCCGGCGCCGCTTGGATGTCGTCATGGTCTGAAAGCTCTCTGGCCGTTCCGAGGCCGTTTCCTGCTCCCCTCTTGCGCTCTTTTGCCTTCGCCGGAGTTTTTGACTCTTCGCGTATCTTTTCAGCCCATCCAGAAACGATGCCCAGGGGAGTTGTCTGGAGGAGGAACGTAGGTAAGCATTTCGTGAAAGACTGACGCCGGCAATGGTGAGATGGAAAATCATGGGGAGCCCTGTGGTTGGAGCCATCTCGGGGCAATCTGGGGAACCTTTGGAGCTGTCTGGGGGGCCCTCTTTGGGTCGTCTTGGAGCTCTCTTGGGGGCCCCTGGGGCCGTTTTGGACGCCATCTCTCAACAATGGGGGTTCTGCGCGTTCTGCCACCGCTGGCACGGGGGGGTATCAACCCGGCAATGGAAGCAGCTACAACCAATGTGACCACATTACGACAATGAGAGAGAGAGAGAGAGAGAGAGACAGAGAATGAGAATGAGAGAGAGAGAGAGAGAAAAAGAGACATTTGGATGCAAAATGCAGCACAAATGCCGTGGCCTCACGGTGCGTCGCAACACCGCTTCACGGCTGCGCGCCAGGCGGTGGCAGAAATTACGCTATCATGCGGCAGGGCCTCCTCGCCCCCCGTGGCCCAACCAGAGTGGACAAACACTGATTCGGTCCAAGATTTCGTGGGGCACACCCCCTTACGCTTGAAGTTACGCGGTGTTAGCTTGCATGAATCAGGGCGTAGGACAGTGCATCTGACAGGGTCATCAGTTGGTTTTCGGGCGATACGCCCCAGGAACAGCAGCTGACGATTCATTCGAGTATTGCTCTGCGCGGAAGCGCCTGTTTGCTGCAAAACGCTAAAACTCGTTACGCGGCTAATGTATGAATGAGGTATGCGAAGTATCTGCCCCAAACATCTCACGTGGAATGCGTCGAGCTTCTTCGTTTCTGCCTGGTTCAGGAAAACCGTATGCAGACAATTCGGCAGTTTACTTAGAATGCAAGTGCCGCAAATCTCAAGCTTCCTTGAGTGTGTCAGCGTGGAATGACCCCATACTCGTTTCAAGTTGTCGAATGCCGCCTGCGCGGCGCCGAGTCGGCGGGAGAGTTCAGGGCCAATTTTCCCGTTGATTGAAATAAGGCTGCCCAGATATTGACTGCTCTCTGTCTGCGGCACCCAGGAACCGTCTGGCCCTGGAATGCGCGCATCGCATCCATAGGATCGAGCTTCCAGCTTGCGGAAATTGAGCTGCAGCCCGTACTGCGATCTAGCTTTCTCGATGCTGCGCATGTATGCCGTCGCTGTGCCGGACTTGCTAGACACGAGCAGTGTGTCTTCGGCGTGGACCAATTTTTGTACCGCCTGGGAGAGGTCGAGCAGCGGCTCGGCCTCCTCTTTCGTGTCCCGCAGCAACACAGTCATCACGCTCGCGAAGAGGAAGGGCGACAGTGGTTTATGCCGAATTCCTTCGCCCTCGGTGCCGATGTCTAGCCGGCATCCCGGACGCAGGAATTGCGCTCCCACTACATCGCCCTCACCACCTCCACGAGTTTCGTCGGCACACCAGACCTGACCAGAGCTGATGTTAGAGTTTCCGGGGAGACGGGAGACGCTCTCGCAGGTTTTGGCCCAGTCGAGTGCCAGCAGGACGAGTTGCCCGTCCCTTTCGGCCCAGGTTCTTTCAAGAATTCACTGGACCAGAAAAATGCAAGGACCCACCACATCGTTGTTTTGCATTTTTTTTTCTTTCGTTTTGTTTTTCGTTTTCGTTTTCATTGTTGTTCCGTTGTGTTGCTCGTTTTCGCTTTAAACGCGTTTGAATGGTAAACATTTTTTTGGCGCGCGTGTCGTTGATTATTTTGTTGTGTCACGGATCCAAGTTTGCGTTTCGTTTTTCGTTTCGTTTGCCCCGCTCATTATGTGGTGCGTTTCGTTGTCCGTTGTGTTTCGTGCCGCCGTTGGTCATCGAAAGCCTGTTTGCGGTTGATAAGAATATCGCCGATATTTTTGCCAAGCCATAACCGATATCATATCGGTTATTGTCTGAATGATAGTTTTTTTTTGTCGTTTTCGATCGCCAGATGTTGTTTCGCTTCGTTTCCCTTTTGTTGTTTGTTGTGCGCCTGACTCGACCTCCAGCCGTGGCGTTCGCTCTGATTTTCGTTTCGTGTCGTTGTTCGTTTCGTGGGGCGAGGGCCTTAGCCCGAATCTCGCTCCTCGTCCTGGCGCTGTTCTCGGGCGTTCGTTTCGTTTTTCGTTTCCTTGTGGTTCCCCCCTTAGTGTGGTTTCGTTTCTGGCTTGGTTTTCATCCTGATGCCCTGATGCCATCGCTGCTGTCCTGTGGGAATGGTAGTCCCCATTCCCTGGGCGGGCTCTTTTTTGAAAACCGAAGCTCCTATGAAAACCAGTGTGGGGGGGGAGGGGCAGGACGAGGAGGAAGAGGAAGAGGAGGAGGAGGAAAATGAAGATGAGGAGGTGGAGGAGGAGGAAGAGGAGGAGGGCGAGGAGAGAGGAGGCAAACGACATGCGGAGTAAAACACTAACCCTGCTGGGAGGAGGAGAAGGGGGTAGAGGAGGAGGAGGACGAGTAATAAGAGAGGAAACGGGGGGAGAGGAGGACGAGGAGGAGGAGGAGGAGGAGGAGGAGGAGGACGAGGAGCAGGAGGAGGAGGAGGAGGAGGAGGAGGAGGAGGAGGAGGAGGAGGAGGTCGCGCGCTGACGGCCCCTCCGTCCTTCCAGGTCCCCGAAGCCGTAGGGCCGTAGTCCCGTAGTCCACGACGGGGCACGGGCGCGGCCGAGGGTCGTCGACGTCGCCGTCGTCGTCGTCTTCGTCGTTTTCGCCGCCGTCGCCGTCGAGCTGTCGCCGTCGGGGCCAGGACAGAAGACGAGATCCACCAGGACAGAAGACGAGATCCACTGAACCCCACTGAAACTAATATTTTCTTCGTGAGTGGAGGGCTCGGTCACCCGAGAGCTCCGAGAGCAATGGCACTCCACGAATCGTGCCACGAATCCCCGCGGGCTCCGACGGAGCAGCAGCGGTGAAACATCGGAAGAGCTTGAAACTTGAGAGCCACACGTTGTTTGTTTTTGTTGGTGTTTGTATGTGTGTTTGTTTATGAACATGCTAGCGCGCGGCCCTGCGGGTGAGTGGCACAGCCAGACACAGCCAGGGCCAGGGCAAAGAGAGCATTGCGCATTGCATTGCGGGTGCTCGCAATAGCTCGTCGGCGCTCGCGCCAATCGAATTCACACTCCAAACGAACTAGCTGGGGGGCGGGGGGGGTCTCTAATCTGCACTACAAGAACATATATGTATGAACCTATGAGTAAGATAGTCTGTATGTAATTGTTCAATGGGTACATACACAGTTGTATCAAGGAAGCTAGTCGATGGATGACCTACCTACCCTAGTTGAAGCAGTGCTTGTGGTCATCGAATTCTTCGGGGATCTTAATAGCACTGCACGTGGAACTGGAACTCTTGCACTTCCCACCCGTCGTGCCGACCTTGCCCTTGCTCTGTGGCTTGGGCGTTGGCTGGACTGCCATGGACAGAGGCTCACGGGTGAGGAGGACCTTCTCGGCCCCCAAGCATTTCGAATTCAAAACCAAACTGTAGAAATCAACATCTACTGACACGGTCTCCAACTTGTTGAACGCAGTGTACTGAAACTCGAAAGGAAGGGTCTGCTTGTCGACAGACAGCACTGGATCCTCTAGCACAGCCTCGGTCCGCACCCCCTTGATCGTCTTCGAAGCTTCCTGCTGGAAACGCCGACAAGGCTCAGGACGATGCGATCGCGGTTCCCCCGTTCCCCCGAAGGCCCCGAAGGTTTCCGATCGTTGTTTCGCAGGTTGTGCTCGAGGTTTTCGGCCCGATGGTTTTTCAAGCATCGAGGATTTTCGACCGTGGAGTCCCGATGGTTTTCGGACGTGGCCCCAACGAAGGTATTCGAACTTGGTTATCCCTAAGGTTTTCGAACGTGGACCCCCCGAGGGTCCAAATGTTTTCGGAACTTGATTTTGACGATACTTTCGAAGTATTGGTTTCAGAACTTGGTTCTGAAATTTTTGATCGCAATCGCTCCTCATCCTGATCGGCTCCTGACCCGCTGGCGCAGACATGCCCTCGCCATAGTCTTATCCTCATCCCTCCTTCTGTTCCACCTTCTCATCCTCCCTCTCGCCTACCCCTCCTCTCCACCTCTTGTTTCGTCGAGGCGGTATCGTCCCT